TATCATTACAGACGAGCACTGAGCCACTGAGTGGCCACTGAGCACTGTAGTCTTTTCTTCATTCTATACTTCCCCAAGGGATAGAATAAAATAGACTAAAAACAGCGCGTTTAATGATTTTCAGTTCTCAGAGAAAGATTTTCCCCTGCCGGCCCTTGCCATCGTTTCGAAATATGAAATTCTGGAAACGCTATAAAAATAAAAATGGATACACAAAGCCTACTAACCTATTTCAGACAAAAACAAAAACAACCGCCACATAACGATTGTCACCTTGACATTATCCTGCAATCTGTCAAAGTAGTGATGGGCGTGCCTGCTGCACGGTATACGGTATCGATATTCGATAAAATATTTTTCTTTCTACCGTGAATGCGTGGAAAAAACAAAATAAGGAGCGATCTAAAATAAGTAGTTATTGAAGGCCTAAAATAGCCAGGCGCTAATAATTCCTGGCCGTATTTGAATATCTAAGCAGGCACAGTAAAACAAAAATAAGACTTGGAATTAATAAAGTTTATTTGGACAGTTGGCAGGGTTTGCTCCACTGGGACGAAGTGTTGACGGATCCCACAGAATTATGTGTCACTTGTCGATATGGTTAGTTTTAAAATATTAGTAGATAATCAGCTGTTATTCAAATCAGTGTATATGTTTTGTGATTCAAATAACGTCTAATATAAATATAACCCAGAATATGTACTCAGTCAAAAAAGAAAAATATTGGAAATTTCTAGTTTTTCTGCAGGTCTTAGGTTTGCTGGTAGCTCTACGACATATATTTGGGTATTTCTTAATCGCTGTGGATATAGTGTGGATGTTTGTTCCTGGACAAAGAAAAATATTCAACTTTGTGGATGTATGGATATTAAAAAACCAGAATGGTTTTGCGGGAATATCAATCTAAGGTGCCATAATGGTTCTGATGAACGGCAAGTAAAAAAATGAATGTTTGGAAACGAGCAATATCTATGAACTTTTTGGTAGAGCCAGTCATCAAGTAGGTGCTTAATGGCTATCTGCAAGAGGTTTATAGGAAAAAAACACCCAGTAGGTGATCTTGAGTCAGCAAAATCACATATCAATTGAAGAAAATAATATAAGCATGAATAAAAAATCAACAATAGTAATTAAATCATGAATTTTATTCAAAAATAATAAGCTGATGATGTTTCAATGACAAGATGTCATCTCAAACTTGGACAGTATCTTGTTTTCAACATTTCGTAGCTATTAGTTGCTAAAATTTGTTGATTGGAACTTGAAGCTCATTCGCTGTATTTGACGGGCTGTTACCCTATAGGTGGAGAATAACGGACTGTTGTTGGTGAAATTGGCCCTTACGGTGTCAGCTATGGGACAGGGAATGGAATCAGGTGCGCTTCTGTCTCGGGATGCACGATCGTTGGGCGAGAGTGAGAAGGCGTGACCCGCAATTTGACAGAGAGCGACACGTTCACCACACCGTGGGAGTAATGGTATGGGGTGCTATTGTTTATGGTAGCAGATCACCACTAATTTTCATCAGAGGCAATCAGACAGCCTGACGGTATATTTAGGAGGTACCAGAAACTTTGTTAGCCTTCATAGTTCAACATCGCATCAACCGTTTAGCTTGGCCACCACGATCGCCTGACCTATCTCCAATTGTACATGTCTGCTACAGGTTGCAGGCTCTTGAATTTGCAACACCCTCGACAGACCTTAGCAGCTCTTACTCACCAAGATACAGTAGCCTGAAATGAGATAGCTCAACAGGATATCGTCCAACTTATCACTACCATGCCCAGGCATGTCAGTGGGTGTATAGGGAATCGTGGATCCTCAACACATTATTGAACCAGCTTCTGCAGTTAGTTGATGAATCAAGCCGAAAATCTAACCATTTTACTAGTAAGGGACACTGAACATAATATGCCAAAAATTATTAAAATCGGATAATCATACGTAGATGTTTACTTTTTTGTCATTGAGTATACTAAATACACAGACTATTAAAAATTAAGAAGGTTTCTATAAAAACTGTTATTTGAAGGAGATCCACTATTCGACTTCCCTTATCTAATAGATTTTTAGAACATGTTCCAATTTCGGTTGAAAGGCTGTATTCGGTTGAAAGACTAGATTCGCTCAGAAACTTTGGATTTCTCCTAGTCTCGTCCCACTGGGATATGATCTGACCGCCTTTAGTATCATGTCAACATCATCGACAGCCGTGCCAGCGATTCTAGAAAATATGCATCCCATTTGGTTTGGTCGGCATTGCAAAAATCATCTACAGTATTCAAAGTAAGTTGACATTCTAGAATTTTACAATGAGATGTGATTAGCCTAGCATGTGAGCAAGGTAGGATCTGCCTGCATCTCAACAAGAATAATGTTTTGCGATGCCTCTACAAACTGCATTATCTTTAACAGGGAATTTTTAATCCAGTAAAAAAATTTTCTCGTTCCTTCATCTCGACTTCTGCCTCCGGCAAAAAGATCTAATTAAACAAATTTATGCTTTGTCTGACGTTTTATATTTAGCGTCCTCATTAATAATTTGAAACGGGATAATTTTATTGCGGCCGTTCTTGGAAGCAATTCTTAAAGTTTATTACAAATTATAGTAGTAGGCAGACGATTTTATTAGGGGTATCCATGTAAGATTGCCGACTGATGGACCTGTTTTTTTATTGCAGAGAAATTAAAAGATTTTATATGCAAGCCATTCTGGGCACATTCAATCGTATTGCGCAAATAAGGTTCCTTGGTAATAAAAGTTGGATTTTACGTTTACGAATAAAACTGGTCGATTAACTTATACTGATTATTTGATTTTCATTATCTAATCTATTAAATAGATAGATATATTAGATTAAATCTAATAAAATGTCTTGTATGGGTTCTTCCAACCTCTAGAAAAACTACAACACACAAGATGACGTAACAGATAAACTAAGTGGTTTTATAGGCTAATAACAAAAAAATTCCTAAATTAATTGAGGAGGTTAAAAACAAAAGGGGACAAGCTTTTTAGTTATTTTAGTAATATAAAGAAATAAGATGGGTGGAGCATGGATAGCCACCTTAATTAACAAACAGTTATTATTCACTTGTTTACTGGATAAATGAATAAAAAATATATATGTAACACTTTATCTTGTAACTTGTGCACCATTGAGAGTTCAATATTATGCATTAAATTTAAGTGTTATTGAATTATTCCGACCGGCATTGCAAGAAACAAGGCTCCATGTAAGGGCAATATAATATCATTTAACTTAAAGCAAACGTTGTTATTGATACATCTGCTTACGAGTATATTACTTAAACTACATTTAAAGGTTTTTCATTAAGTTAGTAAATATTTGGCATAATGTATTCCAATGCTAAATAATCAACGAATATTATTTTAACACTATCGTAAAAACTAATGTATTAATGAAAATGTTTCAAAAATAATGTTAGTGTTGATGTCACATAAGTTGCCAATTACATATAATGGAATAGTTAAATGTCAAACTGTCCGTTTCAAGACTAGGCTCAACTCATACACCTAGTAGGTCAGAAGAAACCTCTTGTGGTACATGAAATAGAACAATCAAAATTTTAAAATTTCGCTGGATTATATTCCAAGTCATTAGTAAACAGAAAACAGAAGACAACGGGCGGTGAATTTAACTGGAGAGAATTGAGGTGGAGCTGATGAGTTGATACATAAAAGGTAATATAGAACATTGCTATACAAAAACACTCTAAGTAAGATTGAGGATTTTAAGACTCTTAGCCTAGAAAAAAAGGTACGATCATAGCAAGAAGTGAGGCTGAATCCAGAGAAGATGAACAACAAACATGTGCCAATATTCGTAGAAAAGAAACATCTGATTGACCTACTTCCTCATATTTCAGAAGGACATTGGGATTTTTATAAAAATTTGAAGACTGTTAGCGATCAAATTAATGTCTTTCCAGATGCTTACTGAGATGAAGAATATTTGGCATAATATATTTTTGTCTATTTGTAAGCCTTTTGTAAATAAAATATATCTAAGAGTCACGTAAACTTCATTCTCCTTCACGTTCTGTATAGTGCTGAAGGATATAAATCAAACAACTTGCTGTGAAAAAGAGAGGTGTGTCTATCAAAACTCACTTTTCCAAAATGATTAATTACATTACTTTGGCATAAATTTATGTTTAATACTGTATTCTAAAATGAACAATCCAATTGATACATTTCTTTAGATCGAGTTTTCTCGAATTATGTTACTTTGACTTATCACCTTTTTCACCCCCACCAGCGAATTTATAATATATTTTGCATTAACCCATAATCGATCATGTGGAGTCTGACAGACCCCGCTGTAAATAAACTGTCCCGTATCTTCCACGGTAGTAACGCCTCCTGGCCAGTCGGGTCACCTAATCCCTCGCCTATTGGTGCCAGACAAGTCATACGATGCTCAGTGCGGGGAGCTTTTGCTTACAACACGTAAAGCATGATATTTATGTCCTGCAGCAAAACATCGCAAGACAAAGTATCTCTGTGTGCAGTGTAGACGGGCGATTTGCTTGCCCAAAGCATCTATGCAATACATGCGCAAAAAAGGCGGTTGATTAGTTTCTGCTAGAGGAGCATTTCAGTATTATTTTCCTTTGAGTTCTATTTTCTTATATAGCTTAATTTCCTAAAAAATGTTTCAGACACATATTATCCTACTTAGGTCGCTAATGGTTTTTTTTGTGAGCTTTTAAGAATACATATTTAATTGGGTCAAGTTACGATATAGTTTTCCAGATATTTGTTGTTGTCAGAAACCAATTTAGAAACAAACCGTTTTTCCTCATTTACATGTAGTAGTAGGATCCCTATTGCTTTATACATAACAATAATAAATTATTTCCAAAAAATTACTTGTTTTACTATCTGCCCAGTTAGTGGTCTGTGAGACCCCACATGGATCTTTGCCTCCAGATGACTTACATGGTAGGTTAAGGGTTAAGGTTGGCATTCAAATTTACTAAATATGACGTAACCGCTTTGTTTCAGTAAATCAACTATAGTAGTCATACATATTACTCACTGTTCAACTGACTCACCGAGTCGCCCGTCCAGCGAGCACCACTGGTCCATATTCCAACGCTTCAGGGTCGGCCTCGCTCCCTCACCTCTGGGCTCCTCGAAGCACATACATCTTCTTAACTAAAATGAACACAATCTAATTAATGACAGAATTACATTTTTTTATACCTATACTCCAACTACCACGAAGGCCTAATGCCTAAACAGCCATTGGGTACCGTGGGGCTATAGGGGGATACAGGGGAAAGGGGGAGTACAGAACTAACCTACTTGAAGCCATTTTTTGCAGGCTTCCAAGCCCAATCCAATACAAATAGCGGTAAACTTTCATAAGAAGAAGATTGCGTTATAGGATATCGTTAGCGTTTACATGCGATATTAGGGAGTTTTCGTATAACGCTTAGAGAAGCGGCGCAGGCGCAAACGCTATCCAGTAAAACACATTACGTATACGTTATGTAAATCGGTTGTGGATACTTTTCGCAACAGCATGATGAGAAATAACGTGGACACAACCTTAAATTTGTGACCTTAAAGCTGTACCCTACAATGCAACCTCAATACTTTGGCTGGAAAGGTGTCTTTGACGAAATGGATGTACAAGAACTTCTTGATTTGGCCGCTATAGGGGCAGTGAACAACGAGGAGTTGGAGACTGGAATTTTGCACAGCATTCTCAACAGACCAGTTCCCCGTTCGCTTGACTTCTTTCGCAGTTCACATAATACAAACTTTATGAATAAAAATGAAGACCACAGGCCAACCGATTTTCTTTGAAATTAAGGAAAATCACCCATTAACGGCATTTAACCTCAAATCATAACGATCATCGCCCGATTGGTTCCAGGTATCCACGAAACGATCATATACCGCATCGCGCTAAGTGTTCTCAAATTACGCTAGGCGGTAACGTAATTAGTGCTCGCTATCATGAAGCCCACAACTGGACATGCGTATCTACCGCAGCACGTTAAGTGACATGCGAAAAACTCCCTATTTATGATTCTCAAAACTCTTATGTTCCTTTTGCTATAATCTTAGTAGATAATTCAACCAGGTATTTTAATATACATATAACTGGGAAAGCATTCCAAAAATACGTTTGAACATCGTATAAAAGCTCAATTACAAAGTTGTAGAAAAACAAGCCTTTGACGTTGTTAGAATTCATGTCGTCTTCTTCTTCCCACTTCATTAATAGGCTCATGCCTGTTTTACTGCGGTTTTTAGCCTCGATTGATGTTGTCTGACCATCTTTTCCTCGGTCGTCCCATTGATCTTCTTCCATTTGGCGATTTGTCTCTTGCTATTCGTACTGTTCTATTTTCTGTCATTCTTCCTATGTGTTCATTCCATTCTATTTTTCTTCTTTTGGTCCACAGGTTTATTTCCTCTATACCACATCTCGCTCGTATTTCCTCACTTCTTACTATGTGTCTTAGAGTTTGGTTTGTTATTTTTCGTAAGACTTTCATTTCTGCTTTTTCCAATAATTCCTCTGTGTACGTCATTATCGGTCTTATTGTTGATATATATATCTCCTAGTTTTAGTTTCCGTTGTGAGGTACTTGTTTCTCCAGATTGTATTGTTGAGACATCCTGCTGCTCTGTTCGCCATGTTCACTTGTTTTTGTACTTCTTCTTCCACTTTTCCATAGCTTGACAGTCTGATTCCCAAGTATTCCGTTTCCATCACAAGTTCTACTATTTTGCTATTTACGACCAGTTTACATCGTCTCGGTTGTATATGAGCGCCGTATCTTCGAATTCTTCAATTAATCTTTGTAGGTCATCTTCATTTTCGGCAATTATTATGGCGTCGTCGGCGTAGTATATTATCCTCATTTCCTTTTCTCCCATTCTATATCCTCTTCTTTTCTTAACTTTCTTTATGATTTCATCCATTTTATCAGATTATGTTTGCATAATGATTTCGGAAAATGTTGATGCTGTAGTTTTTGAAACAATGTTATAAACAATTCGAACGCAAACATTGTGACATAAAACGTTAAACCCAAATTGGTCCCTTGTGCTCGTAATACACGCTGAGAAAGTTGGCGCAGTATATAAAAAACGACTTTTCATCAAGCAGAGAGCATCCGGAGTAGCTATACGAGGTCTGTAAATTGGCAACACTGGAGGCGCCTGGCTTGGAGGGGAGACAGTAGAACGTATGATCCGCCTTCAGTACAAGTTTGACTCGTTCGAGTCATTCGGTTATCCGTTGCGTTTTTTTGTGTGAAGCAGTTTTCTTTATCGTGTTCTAAAGATGATTGACATCAATTTCGAGCAACGGCGTGCTATCAATCTTGCTTCAGACTTGGGCACACTGCTAAGGGCCTACGGAGATAGTGTTTTTCGGTGGTTTAAGGTATTTTCAGAAGGGGTAGAGTCGGTTGCAGATAAACCACGAAGCGGAAGGCTATCATCTCCAAGAATCGATGAAAATATCGACACAATCTGGGATCTTGTGTATTCGGTTGACAGTCAGAATGATGGGGGAAAAGAAATTTGACTCACAACGATAATGCTCCTTATCACACAGCAATGTCAATAAACGGGTTTTGTCTAGTAAAAACATTCATTTGGCACATCAGCCATCTCGTTCGCTTGACTTGAGTCGTTGTGACTTTGTTCTTTTTCCAAAGTTGAAGAACCACCTCAGGGGATCTCATTTTGGAACAGTCGAAAACATTCAAGCCTCTGTAACCGACCAGATGAAGGCTACTCCAGTATCGGAGTTTCAACACTGCTACTAGGAGTGGAAGAACCGTCTCCAGCGCTCTGTGGCTTCAGATGGAAGTTATTTTGAGGGTGATAATATACAATTGAAAATTATATTTGATTAAAAAAATTGTCACTTAATTTACAGTCGTCTTATATTACAATTTTAACAAACATATAAAATCTGCGGTTATTGAAGTATGTCTATCAGACAACAATCTGCGACTACTATATCAACAGCATCGGTAAATAGGATGGAGTCCCTACTCACGAAGCTCACCTTCACTCTACCATTTTGAAATGTTTACCTTGAAGACAGCCAAACTAAGTAAACATCCCAGTAAAACTCCCTACGTGTGCAGGCTAGACTTTCGCCTTATTAATTTCACCACGAACTTCTGGCACATCCACTTTAACTCCACTGTTTATGTTTCCAGCTACTCATTACCGGTCATCTGTTTGGATACGTGCCTGGAATTCCAAGTGTTCGCCTTTAAATGCCATCCATTTCGTTAGTGACCCAGTATTCAATACATATATCTAATTTGCATCAGAAAGGGATTTGGGGGTATTCACGGGTCTTATCGTGGAGTTGAGCTTACACCTTCGGGCAAGGTCGGTGAGAAATTGGGAGTCGTGTGAGGTCAGGTCGTAGGATACCAGAACGTTCAAGGACTGGATAAATTTTATGAGGGCGTCTTCCGACAGCATCACGCTTGTACCTTAACTCTGTACTATAGGGTGGCCAATATATAACTGACTGATTAAAAAATTGCTTGGTATTTTTGATACACGCATTTCAGTGGCTGGCGCCGTAGTAGTTGTTTAAAGCACATGTATCCAATTCATCGTTGAGCTCTACGCGATCCCACAACACGTCCGTATTGCTAAAACGTTTCACTTAAACGATTCGGAAGCTACGACAAGATTTCGGTCGAAATAATGCGCCCAGTTTCAACGCCATTTGTCAGTTGCTGCGGAACTTTGAACAAACAGGTGAAGTTAAAGACTTGCCAAGGTCGGACCGTGTTCGACCTGTTCGTACTCCGGAAAATATGGAGAAAGCTCGTGAAAGTGCAGTGGACCGCCCTGAGACGTCTTCCAGACATCGTTCTCAAGAACTGGGTGTTCGTCGTACTTCATTATACACAAATTAAAAAAAGACTTGCATTTGCGGCCATATAAAATTCAGTTAACCTAAGAACTACAGCCTAGTGACCATGAAAGTTGCCGATAATACAGTCATGCAATATTGCAGCTTAATACTTAAAATAACGATTTTTACCGACAACTGATACTGAGCGATGAAGCCGACTTCGATATGAACGGATTTGTTAATAAGCAGAATTGTTGTATCTGGGCATTAGAGAACCCTCGTTTCATCCATCAACCACCACTACATCCTCGTTGAGTCACAGTTTGGTGTGGTGTTTGATATGGAGGTGTCATTGGACCTTACTCCTTTGAAGACGCAGGTAATTCCCTTACTGTCAGTGGCGAGTGTTACCGTGATATGGTGAAAAGTTTCCTGGATCCTCAAATCCAACAATTAAACCTGCAAAACATGTGGTTCCATCAGGACGGAGCAACTTGTCACACAGCTAGGAAAACAATGAATCTTTTGCAAACAATATTTCCGGGACGTTCAATTTCGCGATTTGGTGATGACAACTGGCCACCAAGTTCACCGGATTTAACGGCTCCCGATTTTTGGAAAATATGGTTTATGCCAACAAACTGAATACTGTAGAGCTCCTGAAGACCAATATTACGGAAACGATTGAAAATATTCCTCACGAAACCTACTAAAAGGTGATGGAAAATGTAATCAACAGGACTCAGGTTTGCGCGGCTTGTAAGCGCGGACATCTGTCTAATATTATTTTTCATAAATAATTTCTAAGCTTCAGTAAAATATTAAGATGAAAAAAATGGACGTGTTATAATTCATTTCACAAATATTCAAGATACAAACCAGTCAGTTACATATCAGCCACCTTGTATTACCAGAGGAAAGTGCCTAAGGACCTATTTCATTATTGGTTGAAAAGTTATAAAAATTAGACAAAATTGTTTTAAAACCGTACAACGCTTACTTTGTTGAGCTGCACTAATTTTCCATAAATTGTAGACGAAAATTAAGATTAAAAGAAGTAGCTTCCTAAAACTTAGATTACCTAAATCGTAAATCCGTATACCTACTACATTTAAGCAATAAAAAATCAGTATTTCAATGTATCTCGGAAACTGTTAATTTGCGAAGCAGAAAATCTCACATAAAAACTTTATTTTCAATGTCCAGTAAGATAAAACAAGTTTCCGTTCCTAAAAATGGACGATTTGTAGTTAAGTGAAACCTAATTTTGACAGGACAATAATAAGCA